AAAGAAAAAATAAATTAATTAAAAAAAAAAACCCAGAATCTTTTCATTTTTAGACACTTCCCTGAAGTGAAAAAGTCTTAACAGAAAACCAAAATAAAAAGCTGGTGCGAAGTTTTAACTCTCGAGGTGCTGGGAGAAAGGCGTATTCCGTCTACTAGCCGAGGAGTGGGAGGTCCAGTGGTAAGTACTTCTCAGCCTGAATAAATCACACCTCACCTCCACAATACAGGACTGTCCTCTATGTACTGAAGACACATACCGGAACACAGCAGCGCCCCCCGGCCTGTGAGACGCCCGCGCAGTAGGGAGACAGGCTGTCTGTGGGGTCACCATGGAGAAGTTAAGGACGGTGATGTCTGGGCCAGCTGATGGTGTAGCAGTTACATTCCTGGACTCCCACATGTATGACCATAGTTCGAGTCTCAAACCTGGTGGCTTTATACTCACGCCAGGAGCGTGTGCATGCATGCGTGACTACAATCCCAGGAAAAGAACGGAGAAGGGATCATGGCATGGCCTGTCTCCGCCTCTCCCTCTCTGGTAAGCATGCATGCCCTAAGGCAAAAACTTCATTTAAAAAAAAAAAGGAGACATCTTTCAGATATCAGCGGTCTGCTTCCCCTCTCCTGCTCCTACAAGGGTGAGCCGCCCTCATCTCAGTGGGTGAGCACAGACCAAGAACTCTGAAGCCTTTACATGAGAACCAGAGGTAGGATGACTGAGCTCTAAGCTGGAGAAGGGAGAGCTCCTGCTCATTCCTGGTGAGTCAAGCTCCCTCCCCAACCTACACACAACAAAACTTTCTTGGAAGTTTTTATTCACCTTGGAATTATTCCTTTCATAATGCAAAGACCTGGGGAAAACCCATGGTTTTGACTCAGTTTTACTATGTAGATTATAAAGCACTGCCGAGTCCCCCATTGTGAGTGTCTGTGGGAGAGCAGCTCCAGGGACCCACGGGCACCACGCTGCATTGCTCCAGCTCCCGAGGGGAACGGCCAGCTGTGGCTGCCCCGTCCCACACCCAGGTCCAGCCGGCTTCTGATCGCATCGTGCTCCACAGCTGGCTGACTCCCAGGCGTGCAGCCCGTCAGAGCTGCAGCCCACGCACACCTGCCCGCCACCAGTGCTTGTGAGGAGCCCCCTTACCTGTCAAAGGAGACGAGCTGCCCCTCTCTCTGCCGCTCCTCCGCCTAGAAAGCAGACAGCACCCGTGCTGGTTACTCAGGAACACCACAGACGGGTACAGACAGGCCCCCCTCTGAGAATGCAGCCCAGGCAGGAGGCGCGAGCCGACAGGGCCCTGGCCACGTCTGGGTCGAGGGACGGGGGCGGTGGGTGAGAGCAGGTGTGCGCAGTCCGGGCCCAGAAGGAGACAGTGCAGAGAGGGGTGCGAGGGGCCACAAGAGGAGGAGTAGGGTAATGACCCAATTTAACCTAAGTTAAAATCTGAGGTGGGCTAGCTCCCTGGGATCTGCTCGAGGGGTGTGTTCCACAGGGCGCTGCAGTTCGAACCCCTGGCACAGTCAGTCTGAAACGTGCTGGGCCTGCAGAGTTGGTCAGAACCGGGCTGGACCTGTGCGCTACACTGCCCAGTTGGTGGCTGGCCCACGGGAGGAAGGAGAGGACAGCACGGCCGGACCCCGGGGAGGTCTGCTTTGCCCGTCTCTCTCCCTCTCATACATGTGCTCTATCATGAATTAAAAAATAAAAGAAATGTAAAAACGTTCGAGGGGAGGTGGGCTCAGTAAAAGGGCTGGGTCTCGTCACTGCCCGAGGGTACACCTGCTTGCCAACAGCGAGCACCTGCCCCCTGCGGCGCGCTCTCCTGCAGTCCGTCCCTCCACTCTCCCATCCGGTCAGGATTCGGCCACACACGTACACACACCTGGATGTTTTTCAAGCCGCCGAGAGGATTCCACCCGCGGTTGGCCACATGGAATCGGCTTTCTACGCACACAGGGCTTAGGCGCTGTGCTATCGGCTGACCTACAAGCTTTCTCTACACGGGTACTTATAACGTGTTGGGTACTAAAATGACACACTCACTTCTACTTACTGCGTGGTTGACTTCGAAATTTAACACCAAAGTAATAAGAAAAACAGGTTATATGTGACCTATTGTTTTTTAAGCGTTTGTTTCGTTTTTGCCATAGGGTATGTGCTGTGCTCACTGGAGAGGGAAAGTGAGAAATCACCCGGGGGATGGCCGGGCCACAGCCCCTTCTCCGTTCTCCTCCTGGGATTTTGGGCACGTATGTACATCCACCTGACATCATTTTTAAGCCACCAGGTCTGAGACTCCGAACTGTGTTCAACTATGTGTTCAGTACCTTAACCACCACGCCACCTGCTGGCCCCACAACAATTTATTAATGTTTTTTTTAGAATTATTTTAACTTTTTAATTATTATTATTTTCCAATTTGACCAGAGACAGACAGAGAGTAGCGAGAAAGGAAGCTGCCAGGTCCAGGACTTGAACCCCGGTCGGCCATGTGGGAGTCCAGCGCTCTTAACCACCATGTCATCTACTGCCCCCACAATAATCTATTTTTTTTTTTAAATGTTACTAGAAGGTGCTTGGAGCTCACCAGAAAGAGAGAGGGAAGGTGTGAAAACTCCCCATGGGGCTGGGTCACACTGTGACGCCTTCCCCTTCATTACCCCCCTCTTGAGATTCTGGATGTGTGCACCTGGCATGTCTCTTAGGCCACCAGGTCTGGGACTTGGGCTACACAGTTGGCCATGTGGGATCCTGAACGACCATGTTACCAGCTAGCCCCATCTACTAGGTCACTGGAAAAGTCACGACACACTTCTTTTTGTTTTTCTGTGCACAAATGTGTCATGAGGGTTTTTAAAAATTTTTATTTTACCAAAGTTGAGAAAGAGGAGAATAGCAATGGAGAAAGGGGAGAATAGCAATGGAGTCACACTTCAAATACATCAAGTAAATGCCTGAACTGAAGAGGCGCAACCAACAAACCTTCGACTGGAAGAACTTAGTGGTGCAGAATTCTTTTTTGGGGGGAGGTTTTTGCTATGAGGGCATGTGTTCACCAGAAAGAGACAGACAGAGAAAGTGAGAAACCACTCCTCAGGGGGATGGTCATGCAGCAATCCCTTCTCCTCCGTTCTCCTCTCAGGATCTTGGGCATGCACGCACATGCGCCCGGCATGAGTTTAAGCCACCAGGTCTAGGACTCGAACCGTGGTCAACTACATGGGAGTCCAGCTACATAGCCGTTATGCCAACTGCCGGTCCCAGCGGCAAAGGTTTTTGACAACCCAGTATTTTTATTTAAAAGAAAAACTTACCCAGGGACCAGCAAATGGCATTAACAGTTACGATGCTGGACTCCCACTTAGTCAACCGCAGTTCAAGTCCCAGACCTGACAGTTATGCGTGCGTGCGGACCCAAAGTCCCAGAAGGGACTGTGATACAGCCATCCTCCCAGGGATGATTTCTCACTTTGTCTGTCTCTCCAGTGAGCACATGCGCCCTTATACCAAAAATCTCTCTTAAAAAACGTTTGGGACCAGCAGTTAGCGTAATGTCTATGTCGCTGGACTCCCACATAGTCGACCACGGTTCGAGTCCCGGACCCGGTGGCTTAAACTCACGCCGGGTGTGTGTGCGTACGTGCCCAAGATCCCGAGAGGAGAATGGAGGAGAAGGGACTGCAGCGTGACCATCCCCCCTGGGGGTTGATTTCTTGCTTTCTGTCTCTCTGTCAAGCACACGCGCCCTATAGCGAAAACCTCTCCAAAACAAAACAAAACAAAACAAAACAAACCTCACCCCTTTTAATAGCAATTGAGGGCAAGCAAAATGAAGACATTTTCAAAATTCTACTCACTCTGAAGAATACTGTTTGTCCTTTTCCTGTTCCCAGCACTGCCGGTACCCTGAAGCCCACCCACGTGCCCTTCTTCAGGATCCATTCCCCCAACTACCCTGACACGACTGCCTTGCGTTTGAAAGCAGTGATACGTGTCAATTCGGTATCACTTTATACGAATGGGACGGTCCTATTTGTACTCTCCTGAGCTTGTCGGACCGCTCCAGAATGTACCGGGCCCACCACGGCACTGCGTGGAACTGCTTGTTCTTTTGTGCTGTGCCGCATCGTAGTGTGTCACACAGCACAAGGTCTTCTTGCAAGTTTTCCATCCTCTCCCTTATCTTGCCTCCCCCTTAAAGTTCGGAGCAGGTCAAATGTCACAAAGTATCTGCGCACTCTACCCTGATGGGCATCAGTGATGCCAGCAAGGACGCCCGGTGCTCACACCGGAGGTCTGTGTAGGCGGTGACCGCCAGGTCACCCGGAGTGTGTGTTCAGAACGTAGAGTAAAATGTCTTCCTGAGTGGGTGCTCCGACTTCACTAGGCTGGCAGAGAGGGAGGCTCCCGCTGGGCCACCTCACACCCTCCACTCCCTGTGCTTGCAGAACTCAGAATGCTTGCTCTCCTCACGGAGATGAGCGAGCCTCTCATCACGATCTTCAGCGGCAGCCCCAGGACTAGAGGGCCATCTTTCTATCTGTCCAGCTGCTGACGTCACCAAGGCCACAGCAGCATGACGGTCTCCCTTTCTCCATGTGTGGCACTCAGGGAGCAGACCAAGGGTGGGCTGCATGGGGTGGTGCCCAGCCTCACTAGACTACAGCCCTCCAGGTCATCACACGGGGTGAGGGAGCACCAATGCCGCTCCACTAGGGCACGTCTCAGTCTCGATGCAGTTACTCGACCTCCTGAGTGCTCAGAAAGTCTCTTCTGTCTGTAGAAATAAGGACCAGCAGTTGGCGTAATGACCATGTTGCTGGACTGCCATGTAGTGGACCGCGGTCCCAGTCCCGGACCCGGCAGCTTAAACTCAGTCAGGCCCGTGTGCATGCATGCCCAAGATCCCTGGAGGAGAATGGAGGAGAAGGGATTGGGGCGTGGCCATCCCCCCAGGGGAGTGATTTCTCGCTTTCTGTCTCTCTGTCTCTCTCGTGAGTGCACACGCCATATAGCAAAAACCTCTCACCCCCCCAACACCCCCCCCAAAAGAGAGACTTTTCTTCAGGATAAATATGCGCAGAGTTGATCTGCAGGCGGAACCGGCCACTTGTTTTAAGGAGTACCATTTTTACTTATTCAACATAATTTTATTTTAATTTTTGCTATAGGGTGCATGTACTCACCACAGACACAATGAGAGTAAAAATGAGAAATCACACACCCAGAGGATGGTCAGACCACAGCCCATCTCCTCCATTCTCCTCTCTAGATTTTAGGCACGTACGTACAACTTTATTTATTTATTTGTTTTAACTCTCTCGCTCAAGTCACTGGGCCTGGGACCCCTCAGCCACCCATGTGGACATGTGGGATCTGGCTCCCTCTGTGCCACCGGCTGGCCCTCAATATAATTTTATACAAACTTATAAAAAAGCTAATAAGAGACCAGCAGTTAGCATGACTATGTTGCTGGACTCCCACGTAGTCGACTGCGGTCGTGTCCCGGACCCAGTGGCTTAAACGACTCTAGCATTTTTCTTATTTTTTCCCCCATAGTATGCGTGTGTGCATAAGATCCTGAGAGAAGGGATTGCGGTGTGGCCATCCCTCCGTGGGGGGGTGTGTGTGTGTGATTTCTTGCTTTCTATCTCTTTGTCTCTGGCTGTCTGGAGAAACACACTCGCCCTATAGCAAAAAATTTTTTTAAAAATTAAATTAAAGCTTTATGTACTTTCATAAACTTTTTAATTAATTAATTAATTTTTTTGGAGAGGTTTTTGCTGCAGAGCACGTGTGCTCGCCAGTCAGACAGAAAGACAGAAAGCGAGAAATCACCCCCGGGGGGGGGATGGCCATGCCGCAATCCCTTCTCCTCCAATCTTCTCTCAGGATCTTGGGCACGTACGCACATGCTCCCGGCGTGAGTTTAAGCCACCGGGTCCGGGACTCGATCCGCGGTCGGCTACATGGGCGTCTCATGACATAGCCATTACGCCAAGTGCTGGCCCCAAGCTTTTTAATTTATATAACCTCTTTAGACAGTTATCTTGCAGATAATTTCTTTTTTGCAGATAATTTCTTGAAAATAATGTGAAACTGCCACTTTAACAAAAACAATGAAGGTTCTATTGCCAAAGATAAAAATATAGCTTTCAATTAAAAAAATATATAATTGGGGCCAGCAGGTGGTATAGCCGTAAAAGTGCTGGGTTCCCACGTGGCTGAGCACAGTTTGAGTCCCGAGACTCGCCAGGCGCACGCGCATGCACACAGGAGCCACTCGGAGGTAAGACTAGGACGGCCAGCAGGTGTCAGTGGGTGGTGACGGAGGCAAGTACCACGGGCGGGCCCGCGCACTGACGCTGTCGGTTGGACACAGGCTCGAGGAGCAGTATAAGCAATGTCCTGGAAAGGGCCTTTCAATCCTGTCCCTCTGCGGGCCAAGTTCCCTTCACAGTTCAAAGGGCACGGACTGAGAACAGAAGCACATGTGATCCAGACAGACATCTGCTAAGTGCCAAGGGGGCTCGCAGGTGGCATGGAAGTTAAGGCACTGGAATTCACATGGCTGGATCTGCAGTTTGAGTCCTGGACCCGGTGGTTTCAAAATCATGCCGGGCACGTGTGCATATGTGCTCAAAATCCCAAGAGGAGAACGGAAGAGACTGCAGTGTGGCCATCCTCCTGGGTGGGGGGGGTGCGTTCTTACACCCCATCACCCTGTCTCTGCTGAGCACACCCATATACTATGGGGGAGGGACCAGCAGTTAGCGTAATGGCTATGTCACTGGACTCCCATGTAGTCGAGCGCGGTTCGAGTCCCGGACCCAGTGGCTAAAACTCACGCCAGGCGCGTGTGCGTGCGTGCCCAAGATCCCGAGAGAATAGAGGAGAAGGGATTGCAGCGTGGCCATCCCCCCTGGGGGGTGATTTCTCACTTTCTGTTTCTCTGTCTCTGTCTGTCTTTCTGGCGAGCGCACGTGCCCTATAGCAAAAACCTCTTAAAAAAAAATACTATGGGGAAAAAATAAGAAAAATGCTAGAGAGAGTCTTCAGGCAGAAAGAAAAGGCTGCTAATTACTAACGTGGAAACGGGAGGGTGTAAGAGCCACTGACAAGACAAGATGGAAGTGGGCCTGTCAGACACATGACTCTCCAAGACTGAGACAGCAGAGTGGCAGTCACTCATGTCTTAGGACGAAAGTTTAAACAAAAAGCTAAGGTTAGGGGCCAGCAGGAGGCATGGTGGCTAAGGCACTGCACTCGCACATGGCCAACTGCGGTTGCAGTCTGGGACCAATGGCTGGCTTTCTCACTTTCCAACTCATTCTCGCTCTCTGGTGAGCATGCCCGCCCGATAGCAAATTGGAGAATAATAATAATGCTAAATAAAATTAAATAATTATCTAAAAAAGAAAAATAACTAGGATAAAAATCTACCTGCCTTTGGTAAACCAGGCATCAAAAAGATCTGCAAAAATTGGGAACCAGCAGTAAGCGTAATGGCTATGTTGCTGGACTCCCACGTAGTCAACCACGGTTCGCGTCCCGGACCCGGTGGCTTAAAACTCACACCGGGCGCGTGTGCGTGCGTGCCCAAGATCCCAAGAGGAGAATAGAGGAGAAGGGATTGCGGTGTGACCATCCCCCCTGGGGGGTGATTTCTCGCTTTTTGTCTCTTTGTCTCTGTCTGTCTGTCTAGCACATGCGCTCTATAGTGAAAATCTCTCCCCCCTAAAAAAAAAAAAAAAAGAGTTTAAAAAAAAAACAATAGATCTGCAAAAATGATGGGACCAGCAGATGGCATAATGTTAACGTTGCTGGACTCCGATGTGGCCGACTACAATTCGAGTCCCAGACCTAGAGGCTTAAAACTCACACCGGACTTGTGTGCGTGTGTGCCCAAGATCCTGAAGTGAGACTGGAGGGATTGCGGGGTGGCCATCTTCCCTGGGGGGTGATTTCTCACTTTCTGTCTTTCCAGCAAGCACATGTGCCCTTATAGCAAAAAACCTCTAAAAAGTAAGTAAATAAATAAATCTGCAAAAATGAAGAGACTAGCATCTTTCCATTAAATTTGTTTTTGCTGTTTTGGAAAAAGTTATTTTAATTAAAAGTCTTTCTTACGTTTATGTTAACATGCAGCAGGTTTATTATTGTGATTTGTAAATGAATTATCATTTTCAATCCCCGATACACGCCCCATCAGGTGCAGTCCACAGAAACAAAGCCTCTCTGGGGCCCTCCACCACAAGCCTGTCTGGGAGCTGTCGGCCCCTGTGCGGCCGCGCTGACGCCCGGGGTCCCGCCGGCTCTGCTAGCCCCTGTGGCTCCCAGCGGCAGCAGCCTTTGCCTTTGCCTGCAGCTGCCCTCACATGGCTGTGGCTTTCTTTGCCCAGCGCTCCTTTCTGCTTCCCTTCGGCCTGCAGCACCTCCGTGGGGCCTCCCGGGGAGCTGACGGGACGCCCACCCCCTCTGACCACGTGTGCTCATGCTCTTCACAAAGCTTGGGGCGCCTGGCATGGGCACAGCTGCTGCCCGTGTTCACTGCGGGGTGGGGAACAAGCGTGGGCGGAGGCAGGGACAGGGCGCGGCCGCAGGGAACGACTTACAGCAAGGCGAGACCCGGCTCTGGCGCGGGCGACACTCTCCCTCTCCCACTCCGACACGCGTCGCTGCACGGCCTGGAAGCTGCTCAGGGCTGCGGAGAACTCGGTCATGAGGCGCTCCTTCTGGAGCCTCTGCTGGCGCTGAGGGTGAGGAGAGAGCCTGAGTCCCAGAGCCCACAGGCCAGGCCGTGCTCACCAGGGGGGAAGGCTCCCCAGGCAGACCCACTGGGAAGCCTCTGCAGAGGCCCTGGCTGCAGCACGCCTGCTCCCTGCAGGCCAGCTGGGTCTTCCTTCCTCGTCCTGAGAAGTCTGGGAGCGAGGTGCCGGCTGCCTGGAAGGGCATCCCCAGAAGGAACTACCAGGCCAAGCAAGCTCTGACTCTCCGAAGAACCGAAAAGCAGAGCAGCCCCTGGATGGGATTGCACCCACCGCAACGGTCCTGCTGCCGTGCTGGGACTGTCCATCTGTGCCGAGTCCACAACGTCCCAACCATAGGACCGTGCTTCTCACCTACAGAAGGAAAACTCGGCCGACCTCGAGCAGCAGACCGTTGCGCATAGAAAAAAGGTTACAAGACAGAGACACAGGAGAGTCGCGGTCACCGCGAACAACAGCAGCGCCAGCCCAGGACCACGCGACCGGAGGGCCAGAGGGCCAGTGAGGGCTCTGTGGTTAAGAGGCCTTGGAGGGAACCAGCAGTTAGCGTAATGGCTATGTCGATGGACTCCCATGTAGTCGACCACGGTTCATGTCCCCTACCGGGTGGCTTAAAACTCACGCATTTGCGTGCGTGCCCAAGATCCCAAGAGGACCCCCTGGGGGGTGATTTCTCGCTTTCTGTCTCTATGTCTCTCTCTGTCTGTCTGGCGAGTGCACGCGACCTACAGCGAAAACCTCTCCAAAAAAAAAAAAAAAAAAAAAAAAAAAAAGGGAGGCCTCGGAGACGTGGGCACTGGAGGGAGGGCGGCTCGGACAAGGGCAGAGGCTGCAGATGGAGCACAGCGCAGGGCCCAGAAGTCCGGGGGCGAGAGGAGGCACTCTGCTCTCACAGAGACGGAGACGGAGACGCAGCTAGTGAGCAGCGGGGTGCGGGTGTCCAGCCTCGAGAGCGCACAGACACTGCAGGGTGTCCAGCCTCGAGAGCACAGACACCGCAGGGGGGC